CGCGGCCTCCCTGTACCTCTCCATCCCAGGCCAAGCCCCTCCCCTAGCTCGGCAGCACTCACAGGGCCCAGCTGTACCAGGCGAGGAGACACAGCCCTGCCCGGCTCACGCTGTGAGTAGCCAAGCCAGGCAAAGGCAGGATCCTTACCCCGCTTTTACAGACGCGGGGGCTGAGGCCCAAGGAGATGAGTGAGTCACGCCAGGAGCACAGGGCAGAGCCCGGACTTGACCCTAGATCTGCAGAGTACCGGCCCCGTGCTATAAACACAAAGCCACCCTCTCTCTGCAGTCCCCTGCCCCTCACTCCCCATCCCCCCCTTCTCTCTCCCTCTGCTATTAGGTAGCTCAGCGCAGTGTTCGGTGGCGGGGGATGCAGGACTCTCTCTGTGTCCCTCGGGATTTGTGTTTCAGGGCTGACCAGGCAGCGGGAGAGTGGAGAATCCCCATGAGACCAGGTCACACTGCATAGCGCGGCCAGCTCGCCCCCATCCCCAGAATGCTCACGAGAACTCTTCTAAGCCACTAGCTTGCTTGGCATTTCCCCCGGGTCGTGCAGGGGGGCGGGTTCCTGCCCAGCCCAGCCCTGGCGGAAGGATCTCGTTGGCTCCTGCCCGGCACTGGAAGACGATGGGGAAATGGTGAAGAAGATCCAGCGGGTGAAGAGGGCAGGGAGGATGGAGCCAATTCATCCAGCGCCCCTGGCGTTTCTTGGCTGGAGATTGCCCCAGACGACGGCTGCCCTGAGCGGGGTCAAGCCCCAGTGGGGGTATTTGCTGCTCCCTTGAGGGTTTCTATTTTTCTAATAAAATGTTGCCAACCCCAAAGGTTTGTGGTGTCATTTGTCCTCCCACGCCCTGCCCGATCAGAGACCCGGGGCTCAGAGCGAGCACCCCCGAGCCGTATTCGTGGCTGTCGCACGCCTGACCTGAGAGCAGGGAAGAGGCAGCTCCTAACTGTGCTGCTAGTTTGGAGCATGGGGCAGCAAGCCCCTCTCCCTGCTCCTGGGCTGGGGTGACGGGCTCTGCACAGGGCGCTCTTAGGGGAAAGCGCTGTAGGCCCAAGCCTAGGGCCCCGCTCCGGGAGCCAGGTAATGGCATCAGACCCGAGGCTTTCATTGAAAATCAATCAATTTAAAAGGTCAGTTTTGAGCCCTTCTGCTGGCCAAGAAAACCTTAAAAACGTGACCCGAGTGTAACCCCTGTAGTGCTGCTGCCTGAGTCTGCAGCCAGCCTGAGCCCAATGCTCTGAGAGGGCCTCTCGTATGCCAACGGGGTGCTAACCCCCAGCCACAGAGGGATCCGGCACTGTTCAGCACTGGATTACGTGCCTAGCCGGAGAAATGTGCAGTGACCCCCTGCCCCCCACAGATGCCCCCAAGGTGAATACTGGGGGGACCCACTGCCAGCGCTGCAGAGAGGGGACCCCAGCTGCTCCTCTGGGGATGGGGCTTTGCTGCTGCTCCTGGGAGCAGGGAGCCCCATGCCACAGCCCCGCTGGGTGGCAATGGGGGGGCTAAGCCCGAAGCCAGCTGCCCGGCCCCCTGTCCCCAGGGTTTTGGGGTCCCCATGAACTCCGCAGCGCCCCCTCTGGCCCCACCTCGCCGCCTGCCCTTCGCCGCCGGACCGGCCCAGTCCCGCCTCCCTCCCCTCCCCGCGGCAGCTTCTGCAGAGAAACGAAACCAAAGCCCGGGCGGGGCGGACCCGAAAGCGACCAGCTGGGATTTCCCGGGGCCTGGCGCGTCCCGTCGGGCCGAGGTGAGACCCGGGTGCTGGGACCCCCGCGCCCAGCGGGGCTGCGGGACCGGCAGGGGTTAATGCAGCCCCGCTGCACCCGGGGGGGCGCTCCCCGACCCCGCGCAGGCGGCCGCCTGGGCTGCCCGGGACCGGGACGCAGCGTCCGGCCTCCATCCCCGCGGCTCTGCGGCCCCGGCACTGCCCCAGTTCGCCCCCAGCCCCGCGCGTCCCGGGGCGGGCTCGGGCACAGCTGGCGTGAGGTGTTAATGAGGGATATGCTAATGTGCGATATGCTAATTAACGATGGATATGCTAATCTACGATATGCACTGACGAGCAAGCAAGACAACGATGAATATGTTAATGAGGGGTTTGCTAATCACCGTGTTAAATATGTTAATTACTGGTGGTAATGAATTGCATGCAGATTTATGGACTATGCTAGCGGGTGATCTGCTCATCTGGGCCGTGCTATTAAGGCAAGGGGTATGCTAATGAGGAGGGTGTTAGAAACACTAACAGGGCCAAACTGCCCCATTCCTTTGCAGCGTGTGGCCGCCCGCCTGGCTCCGGCTGGGCCCTCTGACCCCGATGGGCGACCCCGGGGGTCTCGCCTGGGGCAGCAGGAAGGTCTGGCTCGCCGTGGCCATTGTGGAACTCGCCATCGTCCTCATCCTGGCAGCCGGGCTGGGCCACTTTGTGGCCACGGAGCAGTGGCTGCACAGCGACGTGCTGGGCCTGCGGGAGGAGCTGGCCCGTGCCAACTGGACCCTGCAGGAGATGCAGGAGAGCTCTGACGTGTGCAGGAACCACACGGTACGTGGGGCAGCTGCCTCCAGCCGATGGCACCGTGGCGCCCACTTGCCAACACACACTCCTGGGAGCTGGATTTGAGCCCCCCGCTTCCCAGGCAGCCCTTGTACTCACCGCTGGAATTCCCTCCTCCCCTTCCTAACCGGTGCCAGGGGACGCCAGCTCTAGCCAAAGGCCAGGCCAGGGGCAAACAGCAGCAGGCGGCAGATGGGATGGGATACTGCTGTGCTAAGGTTAGCACGGCCTTCCCTCCCCACCCCCAGCTCTTCTGCTCCCAGGAGAGAGACCAGGCTGGAATCCAGCCAGGAGGTGGAATTGTTTGGCAGTGCAGTGCCCAGCCACACAGTTCTGCCGACAACGCCCCATCCCAGTGCACGGCCCCCTACGAGTCCAGCCTGAGGCTCCCTGACACCCTCAGTCCTGGCCCGCAGCCCCACCTCTGTTTCAGTCCTGGGTATCTATTGAGCAAATGGAGAAGAGCCTTGCTCTTCGCTCCGTGATCCTGACCAACACCTATCCGGGGTGACTACGTCCTGCCTGTCTGCTGTTCCAGTTGGATACAGGTGCCTTCGTCCCTTCCTGTCCTAAATTGTTTGGTGTCTGCTGATAAACAGATGTCATGCCCCACCCCAGAGGTGGCTGCCTCTCAGTGATGGGCTGAGTGAGTCCCAGGCAGTTTGGAAAGTGCTTTGAGGATGCAGGGCTCTCTGAAAATCTGAAGGTGTTTCTTCTCTCTCTCCTCCTTCAGCATGTCCTGCAGAAGAATGTCATCAACCTGACCCAGGAGGTCACCCGGTTAAATAGCGACATTGCCCAGCAAGAGGTGGAAAAAGGCAGGTTACAAGGTGAGACCGCTGCTTGCTCCTAGTTCTGCAGGTGCCTGGGAGGTCATGGCAAGTGCTTCCTGAGGGAGGGGGTGCCTCACTGGGGGGATAAGGCAGGCAGAGACCTCCCTGGGATGTCGCCCAGTGCCAGCATCTCCAAGGATTGCACACTGGTTCCCTTGCCACTGCTGTGTGCCGGTCACGACCTGGACAGGTCTGAGCTCCAGCACCCCCAGGGCAGCCCTGCAAAAACAGTCCCCTGGTTCTGTCCCTCACCGCAACCCTCTCCTGCCCGGTGACCTCATGGGAGGACTCATCCAGGGTAAACTGCCTGGGTCAGGGGTCTGCTCTAGAGACCGGATGGGCTTCACAGGCAGTGGGAGAGCTCCTGGGAACAGGGAATGATAAAGGGGGGAGTGGGCGGCTGATGGGAGGGGAGAGGAGGATGCAGTGTGATACAGGCAGCAGGGTCAGGTGACTGATGCTGCAGATTCAGGTAAAGGGTAAGCGAGTGGCAGCCAGTCTGTCCAACAGAACAAAGTGGGCGGCGGGCGGTCATCAGCACAGCATGGGGAGCGGCTCAAGGTGCCCAGGCGTCCCCAGTGCAGAAGTCTGGCCAATGGACTGGGCACGATGGGCACACGCTAGGGGTCAGAGCAGCCCCTCAGCCCTGCACAGCACCATCTGGTGTTTGCATTGGCAGGGGTGGGGAGAGGAGAGGGTTAATTCTGGCCCTGACCATGGGGAGGGGGTGACTAGCATTGTGGCGGTTCTGATCCCAGCTTCCCTCCCACTCCTGTTTTCCAGATGAAATTAGCACCTGGAAAAACAAGGTCCAGCATCTCCAGGAGCAAAAGTAAGGCCCACCTGCCCCCTTGGGCAATCCCTGCACTTCAGTTCTCCCCCGGGGGCCCTTCCCCTGGGACCAGGCCTCAGGGTGAAACGCCTGCAGTCTCTGGCTCCCAGGGTTGTGCTCACCCCATTGCCCTTCCCTGGGCAGCACGCTGTGGAGAGGGAGGGTCTTGAAATGAATGAACCAGCCAACATTTCCAGGGGGCCAGCATGGAAACATGGTGTAACGGATGCAAAAGGTCAGGGTGAGTCACTCTTCCCTGGGGGCTCCTGGAGTGGATGAGTGATTGCCCCCCATGACCCAAATCCCCAAGGCAGGGGAGATGCACTGGCAGGGTACGAGGCCCATGGAAGGGCTATTTTACACTCTTCTGCATTTCCCCTCCTCCTCCCGCAGGGATCAGTACCACAGGGAGGTCAGCTGGCTACAGCAGCAGCTCCAAAGACACCAGGAACTTCGCTCCAGTGTGGGCAGTGCCAGGCTCCCCCCCCTCCTGCCTCTGCTGGCAGCCCCCCTCGCTGCACTGCTTGTCTGAACGGAGCCAGGCAGGGAGCAGAGTCAGCACCCAGGTATTTAAGGAGTGGGTGAGGGCATGATTAGCCAAGGGCTTGCCCTGCCCCTCAGGGGCCCTAATTCCAGTACTCCAGGGCCATGGAGACCAATGGAGACGCTCCCATGGGCTGGCCAGCCTCTTCTGGCCCTTCATTCAGTCCTCTCTGCAGCTGTGCCCCCGCACCTCCTGCCCTGACAGAGCTGCTGGGGCTGGTTCTGGCCTCTTCTGGGGTGGGGGGAACCCAGAGGGCAGTGATACCCCAGGGCCCAGGAGTCGCTGTCTTTACCCAGACAGGCCCCGGTTCTCAGCTTAATTGGGAGTCGGGGGAGGTTGATTCTCCATTCACGCTGGTATCCCTCCACTGGAGTCGGTGGGGCCAGATCCCCAGCTGGTGTAAACGGGCCCAGCTCCACTGCAGCCAGATCCCAGCCAGCACACTTTGGTTTATGCTGGTGCGGTCACACTGCTCTGAAGAGAATTAGGCCGTGTGGGAACAAAGGCCCAGAGCCACCCCAGGATTCAGGCACTGAAATCAGTGAGAATCAGGAGCCTAAATACTTTTGTAGATCTGGGCCAGACGGCATAGCCAGAGCCCCAGGGATTCACTGGCCACATGATCCCAGCCTGACAACCCTTTATTTGATTGGTCTGTTTCAGGACGGAGTCCCCCAGCTGAGAGACCGGGACTCTCCCAGGGAATAAGCAGCACTGGACCCTGTGGCCGGCACATGCTCCTCGTGGAGGAAGCCTCATCTCCTGCCAGAGGACTGTTTACTGAGGGGGGGGGGGCTGTGACGGACGAGGGGGACGCAGTGACAAGTCCATGGATGGAGATGACCCTGCACTACAGTTTAGACACGTCACCCAAAGCCCCAGATGACAGTTGCACCAAGTTGGGCCTGTGACATCCTACTTGGGTAGGAAACACCAATGGACCGCCGACATTTTTTCAGAGGTGGCCACTGATTTGGGGTGCCCGGTTTTGGGGTGCCCCTGGCCCCCACATGAGTCACACCCAGTCTGGGACCCAGCGACAGCATCACCTGCTCTCACGCTTAGGGAAAGGGGAGGGGGGATTAAAGTGACTAACAACCCAGCCCTCGGCCGGGAGAACGTTGGCAGAATAAATAGGCTTTGCTATTCACCATGCGTCCCACTCCCATTCTGCGCAGGGGTCAGTTTTGAGTGGTCTGGGTTTGCCATCATGGGGCCTGCTGGGAGCACAGGGAACAGAGTGTCGGAGCTACAGGGTGGTAGGGATGGAAAATACCAGCCCTCTGCAGCCGCAGCCTCCGTCTGGGTCTTGTTCTGCGCCCTAGGATGCCCCACAGATCTCTGAGCGACGCTGCTCTCTGCCTGCTTGGCACGCAAGTGAGATAAACCATTATCTGCCACTGTCTGCAGCGCCCCTCACTCTGAAAAGCCGGGAGGGAGGAAAGATGCACCACCCCAAGGATCCTTCCCCCTGTCAGCATGGTGCATTAAGGAAAGGGCTTCCTCTAAAGCACCAGGCCTGGGCCAGTGTCAGAGGCAGGATACAGGAATGGCTGGACCAGGGCGCCGAGCTAGCATCTGCAGTGGTGAGGACGTTTCACCAACCAGCTGGCCTCGCCCCTGCTATAATTATCTCTTCCTGAGGCACCAGCCGACTCGCCCGTGAAGGAAAAGTCTCTCTTGATTCTGCCTCCTTCCAGGGCAGAGGCCAACAGGCCGGATCCCAACCCTGGGTTTGGTCTGCAACTAAGGCTGGACTCTCCCTCCCCTCCTGCTCTCAGGAGCACATGTGATTGCTGTAGAAACTACTGAATGAAAACAGGTGGCGCTCCCCAGACGGGGGCGTTCTCAGCCACAAGCTACTGTACCGGCCAGTCACCCCACAGGAGAGTGAACGCCGCTTCCTGCCCTGCGTGGCACCACTGGCTCAGCCTAGGGTCTCGGCTTTTAATTCCTCCCGACGGTTCAAACCAAAGAATCAGACGCTGGCTCGAGCTAGGGGCTGTACACGTGTCCACTAGCCAGCTCTGCTGCTGCCCTTCGATCCTGACCCATGGTCCCCTCCGCTATCCCAGCCCTGGGCACCCCCTGGCTTTGTCGGTGCCCCCCAATCCCAAGTCACAGCCCCCTGCTATTCCAGCCCTGAGCTGCCCCCGTTATTCCAGTTGTAGCATCCCCCTGCACTCCCAGCTCTCTGTAAGGGAGGGACCATGGAGAATCAGCCCTTGGCTCCCCACAGCCTAGGGGCAGCCAGCCCCCTCCCCTTTAGACCCACCCCTGAACAAGCCCCAGTTGAGGGGTTCCCTCCAGGCTCAAGGCAGGTTCCCCTCCCGCTTCATCCCGGGGATTTTAACCCCTTCCTCTCCCTGCTGGCCTGGGGCGTGCACATCCCACTGCAATCCCCCCTCTTTGGGGAGCTCAGAGCCCACCCAGGGCCCAGTCCGAGGCCCTCTCCAGGATGTGACAATTCTATAATGGTCCGTGGGCCGTGACCTGCGGAAACCAGAGGCAGGAGCTTTTTTGGTCAAGGAAGCCCACACGTAGTAATTAAAGTGAGACAGGCAGTGAGCTGGCTGCCGGCTCCCAGCACACGGCAGTAGCAGCGGCAGGTCGCGGCACCGGCACCATGGACCCCTCAGTGACCAAAGCCACCCTGAAGGTGCTGGGGCTGTGCGTGGTCCTGCTCTTCCTGGTCGCCGCGGTGACGGTCTCCGTGGCGGTGATGATGTGGCACTCGGAGGCAGTACGGAGGCTGCAGGGCTGCCGGGAGCAGGCAGCCAATGAGACCTCAGCCCTGGGGGGCCGCGTGGCCGAGCTGGAGCGGGACGTGGCCGAGCTCACGGGGCGGCTGCAGGAGGACGCCCAGAAGAAGCAGCAGCTTCAGAAGCAGCTTGGCCAGGCCAAGGATGAGGGCAGGAAGCTCAAAGCCACCTTGCTGTCCTGCCAGGAGCGTGAGGTAGGAGCCAGGTTACGGTGGGGTGGGGGGAGTGGTCCAGGGAGCCCAGGATTTATAGATTCATAGACTCTAGGACTGGAAGGGACCTCGAGAGGTCATTGAGTCCAGTCCCCTGCACTCAAGGCTCCCTAACTGGCCCCTTACAGATTCTCCCAGGGGCATCTGACAGTCTGAGTGCCCAGCTGTGGCAGTGGGGCCGTAAGAGATGCCCTGGCCTGGGGGTCAGTCTGGTTATTATCTCACTCGTAACCCAACCAGCTGGCCCAGCCTCCCCCTATGATAATGGCTCTCTCAGCAGGTGGGTCTCAGGCCCTAGCAGGCTGCAGCAATGTTCAGCTTGCGAACTGGTCAGGGCCTAGGGCTGGGCTGGTGCGGGGGTTGAGGGGTTCGCTGGCATCCTTAGGGGCACTGCTCTCCCCAGGAGGGATGGCATCCAGCAAGCGAGGAGACCAGAGCTCCTGGTATCTGGGCTCTGCAAAAGACCCGGGGGCATTCAAAAGGCCAGTGAAAAGCGTTGGCACGGATGCATACCCAGCGCCGTCCCCAGGAAGCTGCCTTGGGCTCTGCCCCGGTCCACCTGGAATGCATGGGAGCAGGAGGGATATGCTGAGATCCCCGTAACGCCCTGACTTTCCTCCATCCCTGCTGTGGGGTAACTGGGCTGCTGAGGGACTTTCACCCAGCAGGGCTGTTTCCTGAGCGAACAGGATTGAGCCCTGGGGCGGGACCAGCAGCTGCTCTCGGGGCTCTGCTCAGGACAGGCCCTGCCCACGACTGCAGCTGAGAGCCCCTGGGATGGTGCTAGGCAGAGACTGGAGCAGGAGCCCTACAGCTATTCCTAGCTGAGACACAGACCAGAGCCATTTGGCACACGTATAATTAGGTGTCTCGCAGCCTGTTCTTTTCCCCAGGTTATTATTAGCTCCAGCTCCCAGCTGGGAAAGGGCCGGTCCCAAGGGGCAACCAGCCCCTCCCCCATCTCCTTGCTTTCAGACCGGACCGGTCCAAAGGGCTGGCTTTGGACGCTTCCTAGTTCCTGCTAAACAATGGGCTGCTCTAGGCAATGAAGAGTCTGGAAAAATCACTGCTTCCCATTGTTCTCCCAGCCCCACTTCCTGTCCAGCGGCTGGAGGCGCAGGGGACACACCCAAGGGCCGGGGGTCGGCGCATGCTTGGGGTGGATTCCATTTCTTCTAACCCCTTGGAAGGGCGAGGCCGCCCCCGATGTGCCCTCACGGGGGGCAGGGCGCTCGACAGCCCCCTGCATGTTTCCCACCCCTTCAGAACTCGGGTGAATGCCGTTGTTCGAACAATAGGTGGGTCCACTGGGGACACACTGGCCCTCCAGGCCCCACCCCGAGTTCAGTCCCTCTCTCCCCCGGCCCAAAATAACCCAGGCTTTGTAAAGAAAACACGAACTCTCACAGGTTTTACCCCAGAGTCAGGAGGGCCCAGCCCTCCCCCTTAAGGGCCTCTCTGTCTGTTTCCTTGTATCCCCTGCCTGCTCCCTCCCTGCAGTACCCACAGACATAGCTGCAAACTCCTGAACTTCCCCCCTTTACTGCAATTTCCTGCTCTTTTTAGCCTGGGGGCCCCCGATCCCACCCGGGTGGGGCTTATCCTGTTATCAGGGCTGGCTTAGCCCCAGACTCTCCAGCCCACGGGCAAGCCACCCAGTTACACCCGCTATAAAAAATCCTTCTGCCTTAAATCATCACAGATCGGTGGGCAACCTGCCTTGCCACCGGGGAGCGCGGCTCTACTGACCCCATGGGGTCGCACGTCCCCCCTGCACCACAGCGGACCTGGCCCCGAGAACAGCTTGGTTAAAGATTCCCCTTAGGGGACGGCAGCCGGATGAGAGCTGGGTCGTGCCACGTTCAGAGCGCACGCTGCCCCCCGAGGCCTGGATTTCCAAGCAGCCTCGAACTGGGGAACCTAGCGTGTCCCCCTGCTTTGGGAGCGCAATGGCCATATGCCAATGGAGGTGGCGGCGCGGGGAGGTGCGAGAAACGTGGCGGCAGTGCTGGCTGGCGGGAGATGCCGTGGGGAAGGTTCTCGCTCATAATCATGTGGGGGGGGGGAAGAGGAGGCTCGAGTTAAATAAAGAGATGGGGGGAATGAAGACTTAGCCTCCAGCCATTATCGATCTAATTTATCTAGCCAGCCACCCATCCCCTGACACTCCTACCTGTACCCCTCTATCTATCCCTCTATCCCTCCACATACGCCTCCATCCCTACCTGTACCCCTCTATCCCTCCACTTACCCCTCCATCCCTACCCATGTACCCCTCTATCTATCCCTCCATCTCCCTCTCTCCACAACCCCCACCCCAATCAGCCGTTTCTAAGCCCTGTGCCTGCTCCTTTCCCTTCTACCCGTATCGCCCCACAGAGCACGCTCTCCGCCAACGTGACAGCCCTGCGGAACGCGCTCACGGCCATTCAGCTGGAGGGCACCGAGATGGACACCAGAAACATTGCCTTGCAAGGTGGGGGGAGGCAGGGGCATGCGGAGCGAGGGAGGTGTGGTAGGGGGCGGGAGAATCCCCCCCTGTCCCCGCCGCCAGGCTCCGCTGCTGAGCAGGGTGAGGGTCTGCCCCACGGGGTCGGGCCCATCCCACCTTGGGATGCTCTTGTGCCATTGCCAGGTGCCGCCCTGCATGGGTCCGGCTACGCCGGGAAATCCTGGCAGGTCCCCACAGGGCAGCCTCATGGGAACTGGCCTCAGTCCACTATTCGCCCTACTTGCCTTCCCTGAGCAGCCACGGTTGGGCTGGGCCCTTTCCATACAGTCGAACCCCACCCCCACTGGAGCATGCCGGGTTAGCACACGATCCCGCTAGCCCCGGCTGACCGGCACCCGGCAATCCTCCCCGGGGGTCCTGCGGCGGCCAGCGTGGCTGTTCCTGGGCTTGCGGGTCAGGCGCTAAGGGAGAAGGCGCACAAAGGGGGTGGGTATCCCCTGCCCGGCGGTGGGTGTGAGCCCCGCTCTCTGCCTTCCGCCCGCAGCGGAGCTGACCCAGTGGCAGGGGAAAGCCGCGGAGCAGGAGCTGCGGCTGGAGGAGGCGCTGCAGCTGCACCGAGCGTCGGAGGCGCGGAGGGAGCAGTGCGAGGCCCGGCAGAGCGAGCTGCAGCGCAGCATGTAAGGAACTGGACAACGGCCTCGCCCCCCGGCTCCCAGCCAATCATATCCTGGGGAGGGATTAGCTCCCAGCCAATCGTAGCATCAGGGAGCATTAACACCTGGCTCCCAGCCAATCATATCCTGGCCAAGCATTAACCCCCTACCTCCTAGCCAATCGTATCATCACTGTCCATTGACCCCGATTCCGATCCCTTCATATCCTCCTGGGGCGTTAAGCCCAGCCCGCCAGCCAATCAAATCCGCAGCCATCGTCACCTGACTCCAACCCAGCCCCGTCCCTCTTGCTCCCAGCCCTCCACCGGGGCCATTAACCCCTGGCTCTCAGCCAATCACAGCCTCGGGAATTGTCCCCCCCCCCAGCACTCCTATCCAAGCGACCCCTTGGCAATACTGAAGTTCCTCCTGCAGCCTGGCCTCCCCATTCCTGCTGCAGGGGCCTGGAGCCGCCCCATCACTTGGGGGGAGGGGAGGGACGACACTGGGGCTGCTGGCTTTTTGGGAAGGGGCACGGTGTAGCCAATGGGTTTGTCTGGAACGTCCTGACCTACCTGTGCTTTCCCACCGCAGGCGGGACTACAGGGCCGAAATCGACTCCCTCCAGCGGCGGCTGAGCTCCCGAGCTACCAGGCGCAGGTGCCCCCCATTCTGGTATTTTGTGTGGGTGCTGGCAAGCACTTCTTGCTTTATTTTCTCGCTCGTAAGTCCCACGGAAACGAGAGACTTTGAAATAACAGCATGCAGGTGGGGGGAGGGCTGACGGAGGGGGTCGGCAGGGCGGAGTCACCCCCTTGATCACCAGGGGGATTGCTGGCACCCGGTCCCACACCCAGTTCCACTCGTGTCCTGATACTAGCTTTGCTCGTACCGCTGCACAGCAGAACTGGGCTTGGTACACAAACCCTGCGCACACCTGCACACACACACAGACACACCTGCATGCCACACACACATGCAAATATATTCACACAGGCAAACGCACATGCTCACACATACATGCAAACATCTGCTCTCCCATGTGCTCACACATACAAACACGTGAATGCACGTATACTCACGGGCACATACATGCACATAGGCCCAAACATGGATGCACAAACATGTACCTACTCATGTACACACCCATGCCTGCACACACACCCAAACAGGTGTGCACACACAAACACACACAGGTTTTGGACACACGCCGCTCTAAGGACACGCTGCCTTTTCACGGCTGCCCGCACTTTATCCTAACCGCCTCTCCCTTGTGCACATAAAGCCACTAACTTCTTCCTGCAAATCAAGACCCGTTGCCATGACACCAACTAGAAATTGGCCCAGTAGCGATGGCTTGAAGGGCAGATGAGGAGGGCATCCGTGCAGATGAACAGCTAAAATCATATCCTGAGCTGGCTCCCAGTGGCATAGCGCCCTTGACCTCGTACGCCAACGTACACCCAGCCAAGGACATGGGCCTTTATGTGCAGAGACCCTTCGCCTGGTGCTTCGACTGTACAAACAGGGACTGCCTAGCGCAATGGGCTGTTGCTGCGGATTGCACTTCGAGTACTTTTTGCTGTGTCTTCCCATTAACCCTCTGTGTGAATGACAGAAACAGCATGGAGCACAGACGTAGAGAGCGTGTGTGGAGAGATGGGAATGACTTACGTTTCCATATATGTTCTCTCTTATGCAGGAAGGGTTGAAATCTTACGTCTGAAGCATCTAGGGGAAGCCAGGCTTAAAGGAGATGACAGGGCTCGTGAGCAACCATTTCTGATCCCCCCCCCACTTCTACAGAGCGGGGCACGCTGCAGCTCCACACCAGAGACAGCTGCAATGACCCGAAAACAGCTGCAGCACGGAACGGCCCCGTCCCGCCCCAGAATCCAGCAGCCTCCTCCTGCAACTGTAATAGCCATAAACTAATTGAAAAGACTCCAAGTCCACTGGATCCTACTAGGCTGAGGCACCCCAAGGAATGCTGGGAAATCTGTCATTGTACCGTTCAGAGTCTGCGGCATGGACCCCCGCCCCATGTGTCCTGGCTCCATTCTGTCTCCCTCTCCCTGCTCCTCCCTTCCCTCCTTCGCGACATGCTTCTGCCTGGAGTCTACTGAGCTCTGCACAGCGTGGGCTTGCGTCTAAGCTGCCTGGTGTCGTTCTTGATCGTATAATCTACTCACCGCGAGGAAATCAGACCACCTGGTGCTAATTTCCCCTCTGGGGCTGGACTCACCCATGAGGGAGTCTAACCAGCATTTAATAGCCTGTGTTTGTATGCAGATCTGCTCATTAATATTTAAAAAGTAGCTGCTTGATGGGTCTCATTAGTGACACCAGCACCACGCCAAGGAGCAGGTATCCCTGCAGGCCCTCTGGCCTCCAAGAACATAAGAACACCAGACTGGGTCAGACCAAAGAGCCGTCTAGTCCAGTATCCTGTCTTCCGACAGTGGCCAATGCCAGGTGCCCCAGAGGGGATGAACAGAACAGGGAATCCTCAAGCGATCCATCCCCTGTGGCCCATTCCCAGCGTCTGACAAACAGGCTAGCATTTCAGAGAAGATGCTAGTTCTGCCCCACACCTCCATGCAGTCCTTTGGAAGTCTGGCAGGTTGTACAGGTGTTAACGGGGGTTAAGATTTGGCCCTGTCTCCACAGGGATTTTTCACCCACCACTGAAATCTACCCGCCCTCTGGGGAAGAACTTAGCAATTGTTTAACAGCACCCAGCCAGGCAGCACCACCACAGCAGGATTTGGGACAGGAATAAATTCTCCAGCACAAGCTACAGAGAACCTGTAGGGAAGCAGAATTCGATGCTTCAAGATGGAAATAGGCCAGGGTGCCTGGGTGAGGGCACCGTGTGGATTAGAAATTAGGTTCTAGGACTGCGTCTGCTTTTGAGCTGGGAGGCGGGATCCCCAGCTCCTGTGGACGTTCCCGTGCTAGCTGTGCTCCAACAAGCACCCAAAACCAGCAGAGCGTCCGCAGCAGTTTGGGCTAGCCGCTCTGAGTACAAGCCCGCCTCGACCCCAGGCATGTACTCAGGGGTAGCCTGAGCCCCCACCCACAGGGACACACTGCTAGTTGCAGGTACTAGCACCTGGGAACGGCTACGCCCGCCGGAAACACACCTCCCAGCCCAAATGTAGCCGTACTCTCGGTCTCCTCTGAAAGCTGGTATTTCCCGCGGCTCAATAGGCCATTAGTCCAACCCGACTTGAGGCATAGCCACGGGTAACTAAATTCCTCTCTTTTAATGGTTTATACGAGTCATTTCTATCAATATTAAAGACTTCTATTTTCACTGCAGGGGCCAGATTTCTCTGCAGGGGCAGAGCAATGAATAGCCCTTGGAACACTGGTTACGTAGCTAGATCTGTAGAAATGTCATTTAGTCGCTAAAAACCAAGAAGCAAAGAATTGTGCTGTTCCGTCTCGGGTAACTCTGCCCCGGTGTCCCCTGTACCTGAACACATTTTACTCATTTAGTTCATATACATGTGCATTTAGTGCCCTGCTCTTGGGCGGCAACTAGTTTGGGAAGGACGTTGTTTGCCCGCTGGAAGGCAGTTTTGTGACAAAGGCAGATCGGTTACCCAGAACGTCGCCATGTGTGAAGCAAATTCCAGCTTCCCCCCACAAGGTCTTTCTCTCCTGCCTGTCCCAGCCCTGAGGCCACAAAGTTAAACAGCTGGCCACCTGGATTTTAACGTTTGCTCTCTCAGTGCTAAAGCCACTGGGAATTCTCTCCTAAAGCAAAGGGCCCAGGGATTCCTGATCCAACCAGCTCAGTTGATGACCTGCAAGGATTTTTCTAATGCCACCTGGGTGCTGCTAATCCAGCCTCATGTTCCCTGCCTTCCAAGGCACCAGCAGTATTAAAAACTCTGCCACCGGGAGTTCAGCTACCACTTGTGTTGGTGGCACTTGGCAGGATAGGCACCATCTCGCCCACCCGTAGTTGCGTTGGCTTCCAGGGACGGGCAGGGGTGACAATGCAGCAGGACAGGCCATGAAGGGCAGAGATGAGGGTACGCAGATGTTGTTACAGAGTCATTTATCAGAATCTGATCACACTTGAAACCAAACACAAAAGACAGGTTTCAGAGTAGCAGCCGTGTTAGTCTGTATCCGCAAAAAGAACAGGAGTACTTGTGGCACCTTAGAGACTAACAAATTTATTAGAGCATAAGCTTTCGTGTGTATGTGTATATATATCTCCTCAATATATGTTCCATTCTATGCATCCGAAGAAGTGGGTTCTAGCCCACGAAAGCTTATGCTCTAATAAATTTGTTAGTCTCTAAGGTGCCACAAGTACTCCTGTTCTTTTTGCAAACACAAAAGGTTTCCAGGAAAGTCACTGATGTTTCTGCCACTGCTGTAGCAACTTCCTGTGCAGAGGGCAAGCGGTTAGTGTTTGCATAAGAGCTTGTGGCCTACAGCCTGCAAAAGCCATCAGAGAACTACACCAACAGCACTGAATTCTGAGAATCACATGGCAACAGGCAGGCAGAGTCCAACCCGGCTGAAAGTGTCCCGGCTGGTCCACACATCTATGCAGTACGGATGCACACACACAAACATTGTCCCGTGCATGTGCTGAGACCAAGCATGGGTGAGCACTAATAACACTTCCATGAACATGCTAAGACGGGGATGCTCAACTCTCATGCTTCAGGCCATCAGCTGATCACAGCAAGGGTCAGGAAGGAATTCTTCTCCTGAGTTTACAGCGCTGACTAGACATGCAGAGGGCACTTGCACCTGTTCGTGATGCATCAGACATTAGGCCAAGATGGTAAATCCAGTGTCCTTGCATGCATATAAACTCATAAACACATGCATAGACACACACATATATACACAGTTATCCATATGCACCTCCATATACACATCCATGCACACACATGCATATACACATACCAGGCACACGCTTCCCGCTGCCCTGTCCTACAGAGATTTTTAAACCCTGCCAATTCGCTCCTCTCAGCATTCGCGGTATGCGGGAGCCCTGTTGAGTCTTCACAGCCCTGGCGGTTCCGCCCAGAGCAGCAAACACACCATGAGATTCGCTTTCATGGCTGAGTTTCAACCTGCATTTCCCCGTTTGTAATGAATCCCTGTCTGAAGGTTGCTCTTTGCTGGCAGAGTTTCACAGGTGGCGCTGACCACCTTGCGGAGCAGGTGCTGGGCTGGAGCTCAGGAGATTTGAATTCAGTTCCCAGCTCGGACACGGACTCCTTGGGTAAGTCCCTGCAACTCCGAGCCCCAGCTGCCCCATGGGGATATTGATTCTTCCTTTCTCCCCCACTTGCCTGTTCAGGCTGGGTGGGGCAAGGCGTCTCTCTCCCTGTGTCTGTGCAGTATCAGACCCGATGCCCCGTCCGCACCTGGGGGCTCGAGGTGCTACCCCAATGCAAATAATATCTGAGAAGGTGATTTTCACGGAGTTGCCCATTGCCTGCCACTGCCCATCCCCCTCTACTCCGCTGATGGCTCCCACTTGCACGTGCAAAATCAGGCCCTGCTAAAAAATGTCCTATGGATGCCCCACCAGAATCCTTCCCTCCCCTTGCTGGAGCTGCTCCCCTCCAGGCCACCCGGGCCCAGGTGCACTGGCCTGCAGACGGCCCTGGCTCCCTGGGTTAGGATGGGGAGTCACAGGCCTCAAGGTAGGAGGGAAACTGCCCATTGGCTTCATGGCCCAAGGGTCTGGTGGTGCTCCCGAGAACCCTCCCGCAGGCTGCACAGAGAAACCACGAGGGGGAACTGCAAGCTCGCAGGCCCAGCAACCCAGGGAGATTTACTGCTCTGAGCCACCAGGGGGAAGGGAGGGTTTTAGACCAAGCCCAGGACGGTTCCGCCACAGGCTCAGCTCACAGCAGCCTTGCTGGATCCCAGGGGGAATCGATCCTGCGCGAACAGGGAAGAGGATGGGATTCGCTCTCCACCAGCTTTGGAACCCTTCTAGAAGATATCCCATGAACAATGCACTGGGGTCAGCACGAACTCCAGGGGGAGCGCTCCCTACTGGGCCACCAGCCCCATATCCTGCAAAACAGCGCTCCCTACTGAGCCACCTGCCCCATCCCCTGCAAAACAGCGCCCCCTACTGAGCCACCATCCCCATCCCCTGCAAAACAGCGCCCCCTACTGAGCCACCAGCCCCATTCCCTGCAAAACAGCGCCCCCTACAGAGCCACCAGCCCCATTCCCTGCAAAACAGCGCCCCCTACAGAGCCACCAGCCCCAGCCCCTGCAAAACAACACCCCCTAGCACCACACTGGGGCCAGCACTGACTCCAAGGGGAGCCCGTTTCCTGCTAAACCACCAGCCCCATTCTCTGCAAGACAACCTCCCCCCCCCCCCCCCCGTGCCACACTAGGTGCCTGGGGTCAGCACGGACGCAGAAGGGAGGGCACCCACTGCTGAACCGCCACGGGCATTTTCTGCTGCTCCCTTGGCCCCCCATCCCAGGCCTGGCGGGGTCTCACCCTGGGTCGCTGCTAAGAGCGGAGGCCCAGGAGTGAAGCTGCGAGTCTGGCTGAGCTGTGTGGAACTACCAGCCGGAGGCAGAATGACCCAGACAATGGCGAGCGAGTGAGCGAGCGGGGAGCCAGTCTCCTGTCCCAAGGGCGGCTGGGCGGGAGGTGACTCACAGCTGCTGTTCCCCGGTTCAGGAAGGAAGCAGCAGTAGCCCGCTGACACTGGCCTCAGCAATTACAGACACTTAGCAGCCCCCAGCCAGCCCAGCTGCCTCTGGGTGGGAAGATGCAGGGAACAGAAACCAAGATTGCTGCTGTGGGGTCAATGCCCGGCACGTCTCTGCGCCCCACAGGGAGCCCCTCGTGCACACACGCTGCTACCCCAGGGCTATGGCATCAGGGCAGCCGTGCCAGTCGCCCCAGGCAGACACCTCTCCGCACGCCCCGAGCCG